CAATGTAAAATATGAAACTATACAAACATATACTGTGATTTAAAAGAAGTGAGCCTCTTCCAAAATTTTGGTGAAGTAAGCTCCCAGTGCATGAATCCGAAATTACTGGGCTTTCGTGTCCGCTGACTTTGTTTGCATATGTGTCATAGTTTTAGAAATATCCTCCCCCCAAACACCCGGAATTTTATTTAGATTAATCTTATAGTTTTTTTTTTATTTTTTATTTCTTCTTCCTGGTGGAAAGCCCGAAGTTTCTTTTACATAACTAATAATTCCGTATTTTAAAATTTCTTTATTGTTCTGAGTTTGTTAACATAGGTTTCACAATTTTTTTAACTTAAAATTCCCGCCATCTTTTGAGTTTTAATACAAAAGTAGTTTTGTGTTTGAAAAATTTCTTGCCGTAAAATTATCTTATATAAAGCACTTATCAGACCTATGGACGCGAAACACAATATGAAACATTTCCGAGAAACGCTTTCCTCACAGAACAAAGCAGAAACTTCTGATTAGTTGATATATGGCGAAACAGAGCTTCCGTTGCAGTTTTCTTCCAGCATCGATAAATATTGCGAGCATGCCACGAAGCAGATCACTGGTTTGATATTGGTTTATCCAATTATGACAAAGCATGTAGTGTGCCTGTGCAGAAGAGAATTTTCGTGGAGGACTTTCATGGGAAAAATGGCTCAAATCCACGTTACACATGAGAGAAAGCATGAAAATGCCCATGCAACCAGCTCTTCGCTTGGAATAGAACGCAAGTCGAAGTGTTCTGCTACTTTACCGTTTGCCGCTGGTCGACTCAGCAGATCACTGTGAATGCAATAATTTCCAAAATCCTGCCGCTCAAACTGCTTAGAGAAACGCGTTTGTCATTGCGCTACGCGTCCGTTGGTCTAATAAGGTCATAAGTTATAAATGGTGCAACCTTGCAAATTATAAAGCTAGTGCAGTGGCATATCTCTCCTGTTATAAATACGCTAATTTAAAGATTTTTCGCAAGAAATTTGCCGTCCTCGGGATCAGCTATATCCAGTGGCGTAGCGAGGGGGGGGGGCAAGGGTGTGTATGATGCCCCGGGCGCCGCTAGCAGAGGGGCGCCAAATGTTCTCCAAACAAGATTTTCATCATATCACTGTTTTTTTTGGGGGGGAAGGGGGCGCCAAAAAGGTATTTTGCCCTGGGCGTCAGTTATGTTCGCTACTCCACTGGCTGTATCCTCCCCAGAATTCAAACCACAGATCTTCCGATTTCTGACAACATGTGCTACAGGTTACATGATTAGAGCATGCACAGTAGACCCCACTTGATGGATTGTGGTTAATGTTATCATTCGGGTATTGTTATCGATTTGTCGAAGTCCCGCCCATTTGTATGTGAAAACAGGGAATATACGTCCTTTATTATGATCAATAATTCAGTTAATATAATCAAACTATTACAGAATAAATTTTTTAAATTAAAAAAAAGTTGCCAGATAAAAGATAAATTGGTCAAATAAAGTCAAAATAGATTTTAAATGTTTCCAAGTGACAACGAAATGTCGCCAAATGAGAAGTTAAGTCGCCAAACAATTTGGTTTTGGTTTTAAAGGACCATTTTAAATAAAGCGAAAAAGCAACGATTTTGAGGGCGGTCAGACACAAGTCAAATTTTTTTTCTTTTTCACTGGGGGAAAAAAAAAATGGTCGCTGAAAACGTCTACCACAAACTAAGGCCGCTTAAATTAAAATTTTACATTGGCATGTTCTTCTCAGAGAGGATGTTTTCCGAATATTAAAACTAGGGATACCCAGCATCGGCCAAATAATTTCTACAAATGGTATGATCAGTTTATAAATAAACTTCTGGATGTTAAATTCTTAGCTATTTTGAATGGTATTTTCTCTTATCGTTTAATGTTTTCATTTGGTTAATAATATCCAAACAGCCATGGACAAACGGGATCACAATTAAGCGGCGCCTATTTTAGTTCCTTGTTACATCACCTTTCTAAGATCGAACTTTTAAGTCTTATCCTCAAGCATAATTATTCTTAGCGGACTTCTTTTCTTACCAATAGAAAAGAAGCAACCCAGTGTCAGCGCATGTCCATGTTTCCAGATCCTTGCTTTATTCTAAGCATTTATAAAGCTTCACATTTCTGGATTTTAAAAATTTCTTTTCCATCGATTTTTGTTTACGTAGAATTTTCGTGTATTGAGAGCATTGCTTATGTAAGTCACATAGCTTGGGGCAGTGGCGAACATGCAGCTGTCGAGGACCAGGGGCGAAAATCTCCCTGCCTTTCCCTTTATTGGAGTGATCCCCATATAAAATGTCAACACAAATATAACAAAAAATTTTAAGACTAAATAAAAAACAGCTTACATCTAGCAGACAAATATTTAAAAAATGTGATTAATTTTCTGTTTTTGATGATTTAAAAAACGCTTTTAACTTCTCTGTCAATAAAAAAAGCTAAAACTGTTTTTTTGCGAGCTTCTTCAAATTTTTTTTTCACTCCATTTCTACAATAAATTTTATTTTCAATGCAAACCACTTTTTAGCTACGTTCCTTATATCCCTACATTGTAGGTACATATGATTAAAATCTTAAGGCTATTGAGGCATTTCCTTGATTAGAGTCCTGAGACGGTCCCTCTCCCCTTCGGTACATCCCTGGCTTAAGGCTCTTAAAATTTCTTTGCTACATTTATCCAAATTTCGATCTTTATGTGCCATGAAATAACGTGTGACATTCCGCTCACCGCAGTACACCCACATAATTGCCAACCATTTAAAATTTCATCCTGTCTAAAACCTGAAAAAAGACTGTTTATTAAGAAAATTGTGCCATTATATTTAACTGCGCATTATCCTCCGCTGACAAACCCTGTCATTTTTCAAACATCTCGAAAGATTTTTTATGCTCTTGTTTCTTTTATTTCCTTTGTGCTGCTGCCGAAGTCTAAAATAAATAATATTCTCTGCTTACCCCCTTCTACCCCTCGTCCTGCCTTTATACCCTCTCGGAAAGGGGGTTTTTGATTAGCGTAAAAGTTTATTCATTTATCACAAGCCAACCAGGAAGTGATTCATTGACAGTGGCGGTGGTAGTTGCTTTTAACCCTACAATTACCTTACTTAGTCGAGAGTATGTCATCCTTTCAGAGTCTGCTCTTCTCTTAGTGGTGTTTTCCGAAAACTGGTTCAAGGCATCAGAGTTGTCTCTACTCCGCTTGTTGAGCATTTGTTGTTTCTTAGACTTCGTCGTTTGTGGTGGACGGCGGAAGATGTGTGGATTTTTATACTGAGAGCTGTCGATGCCGACTTGTAAGTGGGTATTCGTAACTGTTGATAAGAAATGAACGAAATTTTTGAATTAAAATAATATATTAATTGCATTTCCTTCCTTCTTGTGATGAAATTAAAACTTGACTAATAGTATAGGGTTCACATAATTTATAAAATATCCGATTAATATATTTTTACCTCATAATATTCGAATATATATAACTTCGATTTATATAATTTATATGATATTAGAAATCTAGGAATTTTAGATATTTTTCTTTGTAATTAAAAATATGTTAATCGCTGTTGTTGATGCTTGCGGTTGGGAATACATATAAAAAGAGTATTTTTTGTATTCTATATAATAAATAAATCGCTTCAATTATTATTTGAAGAAAAAGTAGTATGTTATCATTTATTATTTATTGTAAATATGTGTTTTGGAGAAATCTCTTAAATTTCTTGCTTGTAAAACCACCGAAATTTAAAATAATTATATATAAAAAATTCAAAATAATTATTTAACTGCATTTTCTTGCTTCTGGAAACCACCAAAATTTAAAATAATTGTATAACAAAATTCAAAATTATTATTTAACTGCATTTTAGCTATAAAACATTGTAAGTGGGCGGAATAAATGAATGCATTAGAGAAGAGCATATGTGAGCTAGATTTGGCAGCTTCAAATTGCAAATGTGCTAATTTTTTTTTGTCTCTCTCTCTCTTTTAATGACTGTTAAATTTTCTCCCTAATTAGATAGAGAGGTTGAAGGGGATGAGAGAAAGAGTGAAATTCTAACTATAAATTATATTCAATAGATAAATTCTTAACACTAAACTGCATAACTGAGAAGTATTTGGGTAGAATTATGAGTAATATGTCAGGAATAATATTTATGTTTTATTACAGTACAGTCAAATTTGAGGGCTATGGAGTGTGTGAGGATTATGGAGATTTTTCAAAAAATAAATAGATATCCGTTATTATTTTAACAAGCTTTGTTCTGATGTTCGTCTTTTCGCTATCTTTTTTGTTGAAAAAATACCAAATTTGATAAAATTTCCTACCATGTAGTTTTAACGCAACATTCTGTGAATGAATTATTCATAACAAAAATGACAATTTTTTTCACATAACATTTATTAGGTTCAAAAAATGGTTTCAAAATTAACCTAAAAGTTCTTAAAATAACATATTCAAACAGTTTTGTTTTGGTTTGGTTTATATGATTGCAGCAAAGTATAATATTCTATCTGTATAAATATTTACATATAGTATATGTAGTATAGCATATATAGTTATCAGTGTAAATATTTGCATGTTTACAGTAAAATACCGTTTATACATTTTTCAAGGGACTTCTAAAAAACAAACGAATGAAAAGACGGTTAACTGAAATTTTAGTTTAAGAATGTTCTATGAATAATTCAACTGCTGAATTTTAAGGCTAATTCAATATGACTAATATTATACAAATTTAAGCTTATCATTTTACCTATAGGTTTTTTTCAAATGCGTGGGTTAAAGTGAGTAATTTCAGTGGAATGCGGGTTTAATAGTGCCTCTTTCGACATTATAATGTGGCAGTCTATGTCAAATTCTCTCTCTAAGTTGATAAATGCTCATGATGTTTCTGTAGCTGTGTCTTTGAAACGCTCGTTGGACATGAAATTTCTACTTTGTAATTACTTTTATTTATTTATTGTTCTTTTCTTTCAGCAGCTGCATCTACACCTGGCGGAGGGAGCAAAGCTGCGGAGACGGAACACGGCAGTCCCAGGCCTTCGTCTCCTTTCCCCGCCATATCTCTGAGAAGAACGAGGTTTTCCAGCGTCCCCCTGGTGCAACTGAAGTAAGAACTACTTATTCGTCAACGGGCAGTTTATCAAAAACGAATATCTTAAGATGCAAAGGATTTTTAAAATTGTCGTGTTATCTCATCGAAGATAACTCGGCCTTTTTAAACGGACAACAGATTTTTTGAAAATGTGAATATGTCTTCTCAAGAGATCCTATAATCCTTAAACCTAATTATAAAAAAAGAGAGAAAGACAAATAACTGTTATGGTTAACTAGACATCCAAAGCAAACAGTTTCAGATGTAAATATTTAACCCTACCAGGACAATCTGAAAGGGCTCAGATTTTAACGATCACCCAAATGTCACAACCTTTGGTTATAGACATATGCTTCTAAACATTCTTCTTCTTCTTTGCAGACATATGTTTGGTTATAAGTCAACGCAAAAATTAATGTTTTGGCATTTTTAAATTTTCAAAACATTAATTTTTTAAATATTATGTAATCTAACATTTTAGAAGTTTTTCCAGCCGTTATAATCTGGAAAATATTGCACTGGGTATAAAAGAATAAAACCCAAAATGTTTGACTTCCTTGCGACGAAAATTGATCGAAATATTTAATGTCAAAATCTGTGATTTTTGATGTCATATTCAATTTGCACGGAGGGGCACGATTAGTAAATAAATTAGAATGAACCGTGTTTGATTGCCCTCCCTTAAATGCCATTCACTTATATGTTGTGTGATGTACTAATGTCCTTAATTTATAACTTTCTATAATTTAAAAATCTATAATTTAAAAATTAAATTGTTAATCTTTAAGCTTGCAGGCCCAGCCCGTATGTTTTTGTATTTTTAGGACTAATAGCTCATCGCTATTTATTTTCGTTTTTATTTTGATTTTAATTTTGATTTTAGTCTAGATTTAGGAAGTTTAGGTATTGTTTAACATATTTTAACACCTTAATGTGTCATTCTGTGCGGACGCGTCGGGAGGAAATTGGAACAGAGCATTGAGACTATTAAAATTTCCAGACACTTTGTCTAAATTTTAAAAATTTTTTAGCGAAAAAGTTTCAATTGTCTGTTTCGGCGAAACGCGTAATGGGGTTAGCTTGATTCGACGTTCAAATAAATGAAATTTCCCTTGAAAAGCCAGTTTGGAAGTCGAATTGGGGCTAATTTACCATTTTCCGCTTACTTTTATCTGTTTCGGTTTTTTTTTAATGTTTTACATGTCTAATGGTTTGATTTTCATATGTATTAATTTTTTTTAAAACGTGTTGAACCTTTTGGAGCAGCAGCTCTTGGTAACTTTTAGGCGAGCTTACTACAATTTTTATAATTTATAACTTTGTTATATTTGAAATAGCGTAAGAATTCTCGGACAAATAATTTGTGTAAGTTTTGAAAATTTAAAAATGTGCTCTTAATAGTCGCATGAAATTTTATTACTTTAGAATCATAACCTGATAATCTTACAAAAATTTCATTAAAGTACAGATATTTTCATTTTTAATTAATTCACATAATACTGCCATTTGACTACATCTCCATATTTAAGCCTACCAGTGTTTTCTAGAACACGAAATCTGTAGTATTCTATGAATAAGATCTCTATCGTGAAAAACGTATGTTGATCTCTGTTTTTCACAATAATCTGCATACTACTTGTTATGTAGTCTCTGAGCATCAGAAACCTTTTTCTCAACGATATTTTATGTTTAGCTAAATACAAATGCAAGTAGTTCTCTCTTCAATTTGTTTACGGCCCCTGAATACGATCTTCGATTTTAATATCAGATATCTCGATCAGCTTTCGTAGTGCGGGCGTCAATTTTGTTTGAAATAACTAATTAATGTAGAAAAAACTATTGAGCATTTAAATATTAATTAAAAAATGTAAAAGCGGGGAAACTATAAAAGCCTTTGGCTTTCAGTTTTTGTAATAGAAAAGTTTTCTTAAATCAATCTATTTTTTTTTTTTACCAAAAAAGTTAAAATAAAGTAATTAATATAACTTATGAAATAATTTCAGTTTAAGACTTCTTCAGTGGAAAATTAATCCCCCAACTCAAAAATTTTTTATTATTGTTAGTCCAAATGGGCTTTGTCCCTGAAGGACTGTTGTTTTCGTTTTGCGATTTTGCGTTGAATCACTATAAATGTCCGTTTCACTTTTCAAACTGTTGCCATCAAATGTTAGAGTCTTGCATTATATTTGAAGAAATTAAATAAGGAAAAATCTGCATAAATGTATGTCTGTTTCTCACATTGTGATAAAACAACGATACATAGACTCATCAAATTTTGAAGGACGTAATCCTCCTGCGAATATAAGCATGCGGAAGACCAAATTTGAAATTTGGAATTTGTTTTATTATGGATTTCATATTTTGTAAAACTTTAATGAAATTTGAGTAACAAACTCAACGATTTAAAAGCGAGCAATGGCAACACTCTACGGCGGTGAGAAAAAACCTTTTTATCTTCAGCGGGCGCTGAACTGCGTATCAGAAATTCTAAGATATGCTCATTTTAAAATTATTTTGCGACATTGCTACTGAACTGAATTTTATGGTTTAAATGCAAAGAACATGATATTTAATAAATAAAGATAGCACACAAAACGGTAAAAAAACGCCCCTTTGGACGTAATTTTAAATCTGAAACCTTTCAGATTTTTTATTATTTTATATAAATATATGATTTATCAGTAGAGATTATCAGTAAAAATAGCCAAGGTGGAATAGTGAAGCATTTTAGAGGATGCTAGATGAATATACATTTAGGGGATACATACACATGGGAACGTGACATTGTTTAGTATATTATTTAAAAAGTGAAAAAACATGTTCTGTAGTTCTATAAAAATGCTGAATTGTATATATTCTGAATAAAACGTATTTTTATTTAAATTAATCTGAAGCAAAAGTAAAAAATATAATATTCTCAAGAAATGCATCTAATGCTTTTGAATAGCTTAGTTTGTTAATCCATAACGGCACATTAAATTTTAAACATTAATATCTTACATTTTGACGAATGGCAACAAACTCGATTGAAAAGTGAAACAACGCAAAATCACGTTTCGATAGTAAATAGCCCTTTTGGACTTACAAGAATAAAAGTATCAAAAATGCATAGAATACAAAAGAAACAATAACAATACGTGTGCTAGTGCATGAAAAATGCATATTTTATTTTCGGGATAGTCCATTACTTTCAAATAAGAATTTTAAAGTTATTTCCGCCATCCGCTTGTATACGTGACTATGGAAACAGCAGCTGCGGAAAAAAAAGGCGACTTGTTTATCCCCCCCCTAATGTTTCACTTCTGTTTAGTGTGTTTTGCTTCGCGAAAGGGCACGAATGACAGTTGTCTGGAGCTACAAACGAGGAGAAAATATTTACTGCGAGACGATGATGATATGAATTAATATTGCAAATAAAGAGGGGTAACAACGGCCTTGAAGTGCTTATTTTAAAGTAACAGACTATAGCAAGATGGTCAATGCTAAACTTATGAGAACCTAAACTTGCAATAATGTATATCGCCTTAAAGCTTTAAATTAAAAAAGTTAAGGCGGTATATATTAAAAAAATTATTTACAAACAAAAAATTTTTTGAATAAAAAAATAATTGTTGATCATAAATAATTCAAAAATAGTCTTCTATTCTGTGAGGTTAAAATTATTGCAGTGCAAAGGTTTTAAATAAACTGCATGTCAACCAAGCACACACTCTAACCCAAAACATTATACATGCCTTTTTATCTTAAATTTTAAATAATCGCATACAATAACAATTTATAATTTTAAAATTTATTTGTTAATTATCATTTTTTTGGTTTCCTAAAAAAATTAAGTATATATAATCGTATACATTTGTAAGATATATGTGTAGATTTATCTATATCTATTTCTTTTAGCTTATATATATATATATATAAGATAGTCTGTGTCTTTCCAGGCATGCAGACACAGAGGAGATTACATTCCCCGCTTCTGTGGAACTTCCCAGAAGACATGTCACATTCTACTCTGATGTGGATAGCGATTCTTCCTTATCTGGGGTACGTTACGCTAAAATACGTTCATTTTTCATTTGACTGTCATCCAGTTCCGTTTTGAAAGCAAGACGTTTGAAATATACCGTTTTCGTTAATAGATAAAATTCTTCGTATCTGACTTTTAGAGGTTAATCTCTTAATAGCTTTTCAAACTTACTTTTAAATGCGTGAGCGATTATTGACAACTTTTGTATACTTCTTCATTCAGCACAAGACTTGAATTTTTTATAAGCTTTATTTATATTTATATACCTAGAACATAAATATATTCTATAATATGTTGTGATATGTATGTGTGGAGGGAGAGAGTTAATTTGCGTATACGGGGGGCGATCTTGCTGCTGTGGCGTTTCTAGAATATTATTGTGTTCTTATATAAAATCGAACCATTTGGAAACAGAGAAATCACCAAGAAATCCCTAAAATGTGGAAGTTGTGGTTGAGGCGTGTTGTATCTTTATTTTCTGCTTTGCATGTTTCTGTAAATATTAAACGTATGTGATTATTTTAAATATATATGCTGGCTTTTAGAAAGAAGTGTGTTGTTTTAAGTACATCCCCTAGACACCAAGATAAGCACCAGCTTTCGTTAATATTCGTTGATAGATAAATATAAATTACTTACTATTATTTACTAATAGATAAAATTATTCTTATCTGGTATTTATGAGCAGTTCTTAAAGCTTTTCGAAACTTAAGCGGAAACGTTTAAAGACTTCTCTCAGAGAGTCTATTTTATTAAACACAATGTTTGAAACTCTGCTTTCGTGAAAATTTTGATAACATTTTACGTGCTCTAAACATATGCATGTGCATTAAAATCTATTACTTAATTTAAAATATGAAATAAGGTTTCCAAGAGTATATATCATTTAAATATATCTGCATCAAGTAATAAAATATATTTGATGATACCTTCCATGATATATATCAATAAAACGTGCAAGCGTATGGTAAGTTGACTATAGTACGTGCAGCTAATCAAATATGCACGGTTGAAAAAGATCCAACACATGGATGTGAATGGATTTTCAGTTTATAAAAACAGGCATATTTATATCTGATGCAAACAACAGTCTTTGTTGGTCAAAAACCAAGTATAGAGAATGAGTTGTGAAGAGAATGAGTTGTGAAGTATGATGAGATCTCTGTGAAGTGTTTATTATGCAAAAGGCATTGAGAGTGCTTTTATTGAATTAAATAACTCAAAAAGAGCATGAACAAAATTAATACGTTTCAATGTGTTCACCATTAGCAGCATGATGGGCATAATGTGTAATTTCAGTCCATATTTCGACAAGAACCGTCTGGTGTAAGGCTTTCGATTGTTTGTGTGATTCTGTGATTGAGGTAGTCAAGATATCAATGCTTTCACTGTAAAAGGGCATGGAAGAAGTCTAGTGAGGTAAGACTAGGACTTTTGTTGGCCATGGAACAGATTTGTTTCTGTTAAACCATAGCCCTAGAATACAACAACTGAACTCGCTTGGTCTTTAACAAGATGTTGCACCTCCCTATTTGCAAAATAGAGAGGTGCAGCATTTTATTAAAGATCTATAACTCAGCGGTTTCCATTCCTATTTTATCGATTTGAAAGAGTAGAAAGATCTACAGCAAGTTTGAGTACACGTTGACGGTGATATTAGTTTTAACAAAGAGAGAAGGTGTATGCAGGACGTAGCTCAGTACTTATGTACATTAAAGTTTGGATATGCGTGTAATTACAGCGTTAGGGAAAGCACATTATGAGCAATAATTTGAATTCTTTATTTGGTGTATATTTTCTGAAATTTTCGTTTTGAAACAGCGTTAATTGAAAATTAGTTGGAGCAGAACCCTCTCCCACAACATTTGCATATTCTTACAAACGATCCAAATTTTTAGATTTTGGCGCATGATCGACAACTTTCCTATCAGCATATGATCGACACGACAGTCTGGTGTCGATCGTATGCTTCTGCGCAAGGTAAGTGAGGGGAAAAAAATGGTACAGTTCTATATCTCCCGTTCTACTGGGCCGATTGACGAAATTTAGCTTGCGTTTTTCATGTCTTGAAAGCGCGATTTAGGGGATATATTAGATTTATATACAGCATTGTTCTAATGATAGGATATGAGGGCCTCCTGGCAGACATACTCGCCGTATGTCTTATTTGCGGGCTGCGCCAGAGCAAGCTAGAAACAGCACCTTTAACAAACAGACATAAAGAACATACCTAAAAAACAAAATTAAAATTAAAATCCCTACTGCAACCTTATCATTATTAATCTTCTCCATCATTTTCCTGGCAAATTTTTTCAGTCTTCTAAAACCATTTAAAATATCATATATATGAAAAACATCATTTTTCTTAAACTCGTTCCTGATATCAGTAAAATATTTACATGTTTTCACATAATGCTCCGCAGTGCCCGGTTCTTTACAGATATCACAGAGGTCAGACTCTTGTAATTTAAACCTTTTAAAATAGAAAGGTAAACGGCAATGACCTGTAACGATTTGGTTAACGTCAATGAATAACATAAACCTTTTTTAAGTTTAACAAATTTCATATAACCTTTATTTCGATCAGACCTTTCCCACTCCTCCCTCCATTTATCATAAATATAATTTTTTATAATAGCCACAGCTTTCCTTGTTGATCCCTGTACATCAATATCACGATCATTAACATCGGTAATTGCGTCCTTGGCCAGTGCGTCTGCCCTCTCATTTTCAAAATGTCCAACGTATGCCTTCACCCAATTAAACACAATATTTTGATATTCTCTCAAGTCTTTATATAATTCTCTAATGTCTACCATTGAAGTGTTGTCTTGATCAAGTTGTGAGAGAGCTTGAAGAACTGTAAGAATAAATATGTATATAATTAAGAGTCTTCTTAATCCATTTCAGTGAATAAAAAATAGCCGCCATAGCTTCCGCTTGATAAACTGAGTTACAAATAATTAAGACACAATAACACGCCGAATAAATACTAATTCAGAAGTCAAACAACAAAAATCAGCGTTAATTTACAAAATTTTCACAGGACTAGTTTCGATGGTTTTACCGAACCATCATCTTCAGCTGCAAAACCGCAAATGAACAAGATAGGAAATAATGTTTAGATAAGATAAGAAAGCCTGGACAAGAATAAGCAAGTGGCGCCATCTGTTGGCGAAACCAGAACTAAAACATAATTTCTCTAAAAGCCGAAGGCAAATTTGGATTGGAATTAGGATCGTTAACTAGAACAGAAAGATTTTTATGAATGTGAAATGCCTCTAGAAAATCCAGTTCTCCAATGGAAGATGTTTTTTGAATAATTTTGGCAGCAGAAAAATTGAAAGTGTGATTTTCGGACCAACAATGTTGAGCAACAGAAGACTTCTGTGTTTCCTTTTTTCTAACATATGCCTCATGTTCTTTGACGCGAAATTTTAAGGCTCTCTTAGTTTGGCCAATGTAAATTAAACCGCACTGGCAAGGAATCCTATAAATACCCCAGGAATTCATATCCGGAATGGGGTCCTTGAGTATAGAAGTTGGAATTTTATTGATGGGAGAGTAAACAACCCGAAAGTTAAATTTCTGCAAAATATGTGCAACTTTATAGCTAATTGATGGAAAGAAGGGAATGACAACAGAATTTTTATAATCTCCTAAAATAAGAGTGTGGCTTTTAGTGTGTTGAGATGAGAATTTTTTTAACTGCTTGATTAATAATGTTGGGTGAAAAGCCCCTGTCAATAGCTATTGCTTTTAAATAATTTTTTTAGTTCTTCATCAAGGGCTAGTTTGGAGGAGCAAACTTGAAGAGCACGGAAAACATAGGAATAAAATGAAGCTAACTTTTGTTTAGTCGGATGACATGATTTAAAGTGTGGTGGAAGGCAAACCGATGAAGGTTTACGGTAAACTGTAGTACTGAAGTTGGATGTGTTACGTGTGACCAGAATGTCGAGAAACGGAAGAGAATTGCAAGTCTCAAGTTCAAATAGTCATTTTGTAAATTAACGCTGATTTTTGTTGTTTGACTTCTGAATGAGTTACAAATATTGAGTTTAAATTTATTATTCTCAATCTCTGTTGCATAATAATATATAATATATGCGAAAGCAATGGCGTCTCGCAGACTGATCGTCTGTATAAATGTCATTTCTCCTATTTTGAGCATCCAAATAATACGGAATAAAATTCTTTCAGCAGGGTGAATCAAATTTAAATCAAATTTTCAAAGCACACCGTGTTACAATAGAATCTCCATATAATTTAAAATCAATATTTCCTGTTCTTAAACGAAATTTACCATAATAAAAAACAAATAGTTTGGAGAGAGGGGGCACACCAGCCAGTGTTCGGTGTACGACGATCCTATCCTCGTGATATAGTAAAAAGTACTTTTTTGGCTCTCATTTAAAAGTATTTGCTCACTCCCTGCATGGCGATGTACAACACTACGGGGGAAAAAAATAGGCAGTTCCTATATCTCCCGTTCGCGTAATGGCAGACCGCACATTGAGTTAAACAATGTTAAGCAAATTTCGCTTACTGCGCATGCACCTTTAGCACGGGGAGAAATATTGGCGACTAAGCAACCCTACGCTAGCTTATTCGTGATCTCCATGGCTGTCGAGTGTGTTCGAGCGATGTTTACAATTGCAATGTTGTGGAACTTTGCTTATTAGTTATTTTAACGTCCATACCGATTGCACTTGCTTATTTTTATAATATATATTTCATTTTTTTATTTGTCAAAACAGTGCATTTAATATTTGTTAACATATGTTCGTAATAATTCGTTATTTAAATGTAATTTGCTTACATGTTATAATTCAGTAATTGTAAACTGGAGTATCTCGCTTAGTTTGTTAGCGTATATTCGCGCTTTTATTTTCTCATTTCAAAGAATTTAATAACTAGCATTAAGGAATTGAAAATTTCTTCAGTGTTTTGCAAGCACTTGTTATATTCCTCAGTGTGTTCTTATGTACGAATGGAACGTATGGTAAATTCTGAA